ACCTTGATCGAGCTCCGCTGTCAAAGTATCCCAACATGGCAGAACACCCAGCTCACAATGGGAAGTTCACGCCACGAGCGTAGGATCCCGATCGCGATCATACGCCTGTCCCGCGGATTCCTACTCCGCTCCCTCGACGCACTTCGAAGTGTGTCGAACCGACATTAGCGTAGAACGGGTACCTCCACACGAATATGAACTTCGTGAAAAATTCATAATGACCACAACAATGGTCGGGCATATACGTCAAATAGTGTTATTCATAAAATAGACAGTTATAAACAAAGCGATTATAATATACTGACCGTAAGGGCCGACGTTGCTCGAAAGTACAATTTAGGAACGACGACCACAAAATTAAAAGAATGATAGCGGGCACGCAGGCCCTAAAATAACAGCGGACACGCAAGCCCTGAACAATAAATACAATCAAACTTCCTCCTCCCGTCGCTGCTGTCAGGGGGATAAAGGATCTTCCCGTCCATGGCTTGGTTAAATGGGTCCACCCCCTCGACCACTATCTCGACCCCGGGGTTCAAGATCTTGAGCTGCTCGACAACAGTGTTGAAGCCGTAGCCAAGGGTGTCAACCACGTCCTGTTCGAGCACGTGGGTGCGAGCAATCAAATCTGCCCTGGTCTCCATGTTCTTCTTTGTTTCGGTTTCGTCCTCGACCGGCGCGGTGATCCCCTCTAACTCCAAATTACGAGCGACCAGACACTCGTTCTCCTTAGTGGCCGCCTCCAACTGAGGCCTCAACTCATTCAAATCCTTGAGAAGCCGAACCTGGGCCTCAAACTTCGACTCGTGGTTAAGGATATCGCACTTCAACTTCTCATTTTTAGCCTTCAGCTTGTGGATTTTGGTGTAGGCCGTGTCGAGGGAGGCTTAAGCACTCGAGGACTCATCGTTGAGCGAAAGGGCCATCTCGAGCACCCTCATCACAGCGGCCACGTCCTCGGCCAAGTGCTTTCGGCGAACCTCCTTGTCTTTAGTCAAGATTACCTCCCTCTTCTCCTCGCGCACGCCGAGGGAGTTCTCCTTACTGAAGAGGTCGCGGTTTAGATAGCAAGGAGGCAATACGAAAACCCCCGCGGGCGTTTTGTCACCCTCGGGCGTTACACCCGCAGCGTTATCTGCACGCTTCCTCTTAGCCACGGGCTCGTTGACGGGAATCTGGGCTGGATCAGTAGAAGAAGCAAGATTTTTTGATGAGGAAGGGGAACCACTGGCCCGACCGACAGACTTGGCTTGTTCCTGAAGCTGGGCGACTCTGTTTCGTGGTTCAGAAGTGGATGCATTTTTGGGCCTCAACTTCAACAGACGCTCGGAAAGAGATGCCATTCGACCTGCAATAAAACAAAATCGTTAGTCGAGTTGGAAAAATAAAAAACAGGGCGAGCACGTCCCTGTATAAAAAGGAGCAAATTAACGACTACGCCTTACCCAAAAGCCTCATGGCTTCCCCATTCGAGGAGCACTTGGGCAAGGCCTTAGTGTTGATCAACCTATTGACTAAGAGATACTCCCCCTCATCATTGAACAACAGGTTGTTGTTCACGTCCACGCACTTCGCGGGGGAGAAACTTTTAACATAAGCCGATAAATTCTCGTACGAAAGCTGGTCTTGGGCATCCAAGTCCTCGGGTTTCACTGTATAGTATTCGGGCCTTTGTTCATAATGCTTCCACTTCCATTCGAGCGGGAATCTGGCCATAAGTTGGGTAATTGGCCGCCCGTCCTCCACCGCTTCCACACGGGTATAGAGAGAATCTATAGCCGCGTCCGTCAGGGGCTTCATGATGAAGTACCCCTCTTTAAAATTCCAGACGGACTTTAGATAAGGTCGGAAGAGTTTCCCCAACTGCTTGAAGGATACCCATGCCTGCCCCCATCGGACATATTGTCTTTGTAGGTGAAAGATGCGGAAAAAAAGGGGCAGTGTGGCGCCTATCCCCAGGTACTGGCAGACGAGCTTAAACGCCCGCATAAACGCCAACGCGTTTGGATGAAGTTGGGAAGGTGCCAACTAAAGCCATTGGAAAACCCTGACCTGGAAATCATTGAAGGGCAGGCGCATCCCATCCTCTTTGAAAGCAAATTTATACATGGGGAACCATTTTCCCGGATACGTCGAGCATATCCTTCAGTCCCGATGGGGGATTTGGAGCATCCAATTGGCCGGGGCCCCTTCTGCGCGTTCCTCCGGGCAATTGAACGCATCTGTCGCATCCTGTGAAAAGCACGATCGTTTATCCCGGGGCTCAGGAGCAACCCAAGCCAAAGGGTTCCATCGGTACGGGGCTCGTCTTCGTGATGGGCAGCCGGAATGTCATCCATGACTGAACGCGCCATCGTACCTGAAAAGCAGAGGAAGTTAGTGAATTCGAAATTATCAAATCCACTCTTCCAGCACAGATCAAGTGAAAGGGAGACAAACTTGACCTAAGCCCTCGACACGCTAAAGCGGACCATTACATTACGAGGACATGTAGTCGGGGGGATCACTCATCGAGAAAAAAGCCCGGGATGCCCACTATATCCTAGGGAACCCTCCCCTGTTACAGACATTGTCCGGGGAGGTCCCCGACACTATATCTAATGAATGTTCACAAGTGTCCTGCACATTCATGAGTGCCCAACACGGAATCCATGAACTCAAATGAACATTCATGAGTATTCATCATAAAACTCATGAATATTCATCCAATCAAGACAAATTTTTGACATTTAATCCAAAAACGCTCAAGAAACATGGTGTTAAGAGGTTATAACTTACTTGGATGAAGAACTTGGAGAGAGAAACTGAAAAGTTGAGAGAACCGCCTCACACCACGAGTAAAGAAAATTGAGAAGTTAAGAGAATCGCTTCACACCACGAGCAAAGAAAAGATTGAGAGGAAACTTGAGAAGATGACAAATGAGACCCAAGAGCCCCCTTTTTATAGGCGACCCACGCCCCAAGGGATCCCTCATGAAGGGTCATCATCTCATTGGCCCCTTTTGCTTTTTCCTTGAGGGGGTGGCACCCTAAAGCACTAGCCACGTGGCTCAATAATCAACCACGGGTCCCTTCTGGACTGGCGAGCATATGCCCGACTCCTACGTGTCTTTTTCAAACACATACGAGGCAGATACCTACACGAGGAAATGCTTGACATTAGAGTGCACGTAGGGACACATCTATTCACCCACCTCGGGGACGAGGTAATGCTCGACAAACTAACAACTCCCAAGAGACAGCCATGTCAAAGGGAATCTCGCAGAAGCTCCCCATCACTAATACGTTCTCTCGAGCAAGCGGTTGACCCCTTCGGTCCCGCTCCATGCTCATCCATGATATTCCCCGACGTACTCGAGCTTGGCCCCCACGCGGGCAATGACTCGCTCCTTCCGGGGACTTTGGCCCTCTACCTCGACCAAGTCTCCGGTATCGAGAGCTGGACTCAAGTCACCGCCCTCTAGCTCAAGGGCAATAACTTGGGGGCTCCTAATCTGGATTGGGCCTACACTTGCCTTTCGAACGAGAAGCCCAAAGACATCCCAAGTTAGGAACCGTTGGGCAACTCCCCATCCGACCGTTAGAGGACGTGACCCACGATCCAATGACATACATCTTAAACCGCCCTCCAAAAATCACGGGTCCAATCCTATTCTCGCGGAGCAGTTGACCAAGGGGGAGCCCACTTGCTGGACTCCAAACACACGTAAGCCCTGACAATTCCTGTTATTGGGCCTCCACGTGGCCCAAGAGTGGGAACTTTGGCCCAGCGTTGGGGGCTATAATTACCCTCTCTCTCAAGAGGGTAAGGTATTCAAATTCATCTCTAAACTCATACTTGTTTGCTCATTCCGCTTCTCACTTTGCCATCGGAGTGTCTTGCAGGTACCCTCATCTCATTCAAATTCTGCCTGAACCAGCTGTGACGGTCCATTTCTGATCCAGTAAGATAAAAAAGAAACATTAGTTTTTGAAGAATTTTAAAAGAATTTAAAAGGAAAAGACTTTGAAGAAATATATTTATATTTTGATACAAATTTAATATTAAAAATAAAATAAAATAATCAAGATAATACATTAATATATATATTATATATAATAAAATAATCAAGATAATACATTAATATATATTATATATTATATTTTTTAAAGTGTCAAAAGAGAGGTAGCAATACAATTTAAAACCATGAACGAATCCTTTCAAAAGTTTCGCACAAGAAAATACTAGAAACACTCTCTTTTTAATAATACTCTCATATTAAAAACACTCTTTTTAACACTCTTTCAAACACTCACTCACTTATTAGTTGAAACATGTATCAGTCTCTCCTTTTAGAAATAGATCTCGCATAAAGTGGAAGAAGCCACACATGTTTCTTATTAGAAGAGATTATTTGAGTGTGTTATAGCCCTCCTCATGCACACACATTCAAAGGATGTATAAATTGCTATCTCAAAAAGAGTCCTTTAATAACCCTGAAATCCCTTTTCTCGCATAGCACCCTACTACCATTGTTTTTTGTATTGGATTGATCTCACTAACTACAACATTGATTTATGAGGAAAGGAAAGTCACAGTCTACAAATTAAGAAAAAGTTCAGTAAAAATTATTGAGCCGAGACTACTTTCGTTCACAAGATAACAATGAATCCCAAACGAAAAAAGGATCATATTCTATGCTGTCACAGAAAAACACAGTTCATGATTGAAACCATTAGACGGTTCCCATTTTGAGTTCATGTTTGGAATCCGACATGAAAGTCAGAATGTGAGCCGTCTAATATTCATATTTCATTCAACACTTCCAATTTGACGATCAAAGTAAATGCATGTTTTTGTGACCCGAGAGAAACAATATCCCACCAGGGTCCGTCAAGGCCCGGTTTAGGAAACCATTTGTTAACTGCATGTAAACCAATTAGAAAAATGGGAAGCAACTGAATTTTGTGCAGAGAATAGAAAATGAACAATTTTGTACAAAAGGAAAACAAAAATGCAACTAATGAGATGATGACGACGACGAGTTAAACAGTGCCGCTGACTCTTTGCACATAGGGCACCAATTCTTCAGCCTCAACCATTCCTGTATACAATCAACATGATATTTATGCGTGCATTGCAGTCTTCCAATTTCATCTCCAACAACATATTCCTCCTACAAGTTACATAAACTTATCTAAATCAAATCTTGTAATAAAATAACTGTTGTTGGAATTAAATTTTGTCAAGCTGAATCATAGTAACACAGTTAACCATTGGCTATATAACAGTTGAGCCATGATGAGATGAGAATCATCTTTGGAAAAACTTCATTAAAAGTTATAAAAATACCTGGCAAATGCAGCATTTGATTTCATTGTTATCCTCATCAACACAGTCGGCTGCATCATCTGAAGGCGTAGACTCAAAGACACTTATTTTAAGACTATCAGAGAGTGCTTCCTCTGACAGTGCTGTACTAACTGTACCCATTCTCTCTTCGAGAGCTAAGAGTTCCTGTCATTAATATAATATAAATATTCAGGGGGTGGAAATAGATAAATTTAAAAGAAAATTCGAAGATTTTTAATATCAAGATGACATATCCTCAAGGATGTAATAGTTCTTGTTCCGCGATAAGCTATCCAGAATAAACATTGTCAAATAGAGGCTATAGCGGCACAACAACATTGTTACATAGCAGAAATTGAACAAACCACTATTTTCTACGATCAGCGATTAACAACTTGATATGATAAACCAATTTGCTGAACCATAAAACATTCGCAAACCTCGTACGACATGTCATCAATATCCAGCCTCATGTCTCTATGAGTATCACAGAAGCTAAGTCCATCAAGAATAGAGTTGGTCTCTAGTAAATCAATTTGCTGCAAAGATGAAAATAAAATAAAAAAATTCAATAACTAGCAAATTAAGTTTGATAATTTTATTTTTTATCTACAATTACCTCATGGGTTAACTCTTCATTTTGTTCCATTCTCTCAAGTGCCAATAATACCTACATCCAATAATAAAACAGTACTTAGATTATAAACTCTCATAAAAGATCATAATAATAAACATGCACTCCTTTGTTTACATCAAAAGTTACCTCTGAAATACCATCCATACTGTAGCGCCGAAAGCCATCCTGAATTATTAGAGAATGACAGGTATCGTGTTCTTCAGGAGACATAGGCATACCACCGCAAAACTCCTCAGTGACAGAAGAGTTAAGATCAACAGAATGAGGAGAAATAGGCAATGCATCACGGGACTCTTTTTCTTTAGAGTTTTCATTTCCTTGTTTAGAAAATCTTCCCCTGCCATAACCACTAACCGTTTTTTCAGTTTTAACTGATGCTCTGCTATCGTCCCCATTGTTTTCTTTGGAGTTTTCATTTCCTTGGTTAGAAAATCTTCCCCCGGCATAACCACTAACCGTTCTTTCAGTTTTAGCTGATGCTCGGCTATTGTCCCCATTGTTTTCTTTGGAGTTTTCATTTCCTTGGTTAGAAAATCTTCCCCTGGCATAACCACTAACCGTTTTTTCAGTTCTAACTGATGCTCTACTATTGTCCCTCAGAGGAGGAATATTTCTAGACCCTCTTGTATCAGAACTAGTTCTTCCATTTCTGGAGCTAGAATTCAATCTTTCCGATGAAGAAGCAGTCATCTTCTTCCCTTTAAGAGTGGAGCTACTTTCCCCTTCAGAGCTTCTCGTTTTTGTCACAGTAGTCTTCCTTCTATTAAAGGTAGAATTTGATGACGAGCATGAAGAAGGGATCACATCAGATAGAGTGTTGCATCTGAGGTTCCTCAATCCATACTTGCTAGAAACTGCTTGTGTCACCGGACCAATGCTTTCAGTTTCTCGTTGATGCAACCCGGGTCTTTGATTAAAATTCTTTTGAGATCTTAAATTTGATACTGCAACTGCACCAGATTTTCCTACTCCTGCCCGAATCACATTAGTAGACTCTCTACCTTTCTCTTCAGCTGGAAGACCACTCGAAGATAACGTTCTCCGAGGCTCTATAAGTGGTTTCACCAGGTTAGCAGATGTTCTACGGGAACTACCAACTACCTCCTTTTTACTTGAAGATGACTGCGTTGATGGCCTTAAAATTTTAACTGCTTCAGAAGATCTTTTTTGAACAGGAGGGTTGGCTCCACTACTGCAACCTGCTCGGCTTCGATTTTGACCATCTCTGGTATTAGCAGTCTCTCTAAACACAACGCCCGTCCTTTTTTTAGGGACTTCCGTCCCATCAATGCCTCTTTTTGATAACATGCTCTTTCGAACGATGGGCCTGCGGTAGTTTCCTTCCATGTTAATGATAATGAACTGTTTAATACAAGAAAGAACAACCCATCTCAAGTAGCATTTAGATATCTTTTCACTAACAGGCTCAAGCAAAAGAGAAACAACTTATAACTTATAAGTTAACTCACAAATCATATCCCTTTCATTGAAGAGTGCTTTTTTTTTTATGAAGAACGGCATTTGACATATATCAAAGCACTTTTATTAAATAATTTTGATACCGAAATTAGAAAACAGCCAACTTTGAGAGCACATTCAGTTTAGTAATCCACAAGATAAAAAAAAAAATTCTAAACCCAAATTATCAAAATGTTACAACAATCAGCAAACTGAAACTGCATTCATCACATGGTTGACGCTAAATTAACAGTTCTGAAATTTCCTAACAACCTATTATAAATGATACAAACAGGAAGACTCCAACGAAATCCTAGTAAAGCAACACTCATGATAGCGCTTACATATCTCTACTGCTATTCTCATCACCGCGATTTTCTTTCATATTAAAAAGAAAAGTTAAAGGGGTCTAGCAATATCCACACAACATATATAGTTCTCAAACAGAGAGCGCCCCGTTTAACTCCTATGAACCAACACACTCTTATTCAACCATAATAAGCACAACGCAGCCTGATTACATTAAATCAAACAACTGCCATATTTACACCTCATAATATAAAGAGGTACCAAAAATTGAAGTGCTTATTTAATAAGTATATATAGTGTAAGAGTTGATTCTAAAAATTAAAATTAGAGGAAATGAAAACAACTAAGGAAAATAAGCCATCGGCAGAAAACAATTTATAGATATAATGTAATCCTTTCCAAATGCCCCAAACACGATCGCAACATTGACAGAGCGATAAGGATCGGTGCAGGTATCTGACACAGACACACCTTTTATCAGAAGTGTTAGTGCTACATAGATTGCTAGTGCTCTTAAGGGGGTCATAAAATTGGATTCTAATAAAAATATCCAGCTTGAACAAACCATATAATAATGATGAGGTTGATGATCAATAGGAATAGTCACAAAAAACATGATGATGCAAACTAGAAAAAGCAATACATATATAATAATGATCAGTCATAGAACAACTGAAAACTCAAAATTCAGTTTTAATATTTCGATCAATTTAGGGTTCTAAGTAACGTGATCAAAGAAATAAAATCCAAAACTGAATCAGGTTAATTTCGATAATTCATGGTTTGAGTTAAAATTGAATCGATAATTACGGAATTGAAAATTATTTGAATTGTGAAGGATAGGTTCGTTTATCGTTAGAGAGAGAGGTGAAAATGGTGAATACCTTTGGTGATGATGGTATTGTTGAGAGAGAGAGAGAGAGAGAGAGAGAGAGTGGAATTTTGAGAGAGAAACGTGAGAGAATGAACGAGAAGAGATGGAAAGGTGTGAGTGAGGGTATAAATCCTATTCGTCCCACCACATCGACAAATTTGTTTTTTTCCTTGACATGTTCAATCAAATATTTTAAAAATTAGATTTTTTTTTTTGTATTTTTAAAAATATTTTTATGAAAAAATTATAATAGCAAAAGTTTTTTAATTTATTTTTTATAAGTCAAAATGCTAATTATGATATTAGCACAAAATTTATTTGATAAACGCATTTGTTTCGGTTTAACAATGTTTCTCTAGAACAATGGTGTTATATGACGATAAATTTTGTTGATCTAGTAAATTTTTTCTTTAAGGGTGATCTATTATAGTTGAAAGTATTGTTTGCGAATAGATCTCTTTAATGAATTACATTTTTAAAATCTAGCCAATTTTTTAGTAAAAATTGCATCAACATAATGAAAAAAGAAAATTAAAAATCAAAAATCCAACACTCATGATGTAATAAAATTTGAATGAGCAAATTGTTGTTTCAATGTTCAAGAAACTATAGACTATAACAAGGGATGACTAATAAAACATCACAAAGTCGACCTACAATATAGGTGGTGTGATTGTGGAAAATTTCAAATTTTTTGTGCGTCATGTTAACATGTCATTGCATCATGTTCTAGTGTCCACCAATATGCTTTCGAGTATTTGTCAAACGCTTACAAAGTTGTAAATGTATTTGATGCTTACAACAAAAGCTTTTCGGTTGTACCAAACAATGAATATTGGCTTATTTGTCAAGGGGTGGAATTTTTAATAAAAAACACGTGTGTTGGAAAAAAAAGGTATTCCAAACAACACTCGAATCAGAACATAAATAGATATTGGATATACACTTCAAAGAAAATGTGGACTATATCGTCTTATCGATAATACTCAAAAAAATTATGACAATGTTGGAACCTATTCTAATTAGACATATGTATTTCTTAGAGTGTCATATGTTAATAAAATTTAAAAATATATAGTATTAATTAAAACTTCTAGTTACAACACAACATCGCATCATCAAATAAGGAAACTAACAACAACATAAAATCAAAACATTATTAGGTAACTAGTACACCATAACACTAAAACAATCAGATATTTGTTTCTTGTAAGCATACATGAAACATCTAAATCATTCTCAACACGCTCTCAGTCTTTATCATCTAGAGACATAATAAAATTTGCAACAACATAATAAAATTTGCAACAATCAACATAATAAAATCTACTATTATCTAGAGACGTTATTGTAAAGCTCTTGATTTGAAAATCTATTTCAAGTTTTCTTTTTTCCTCTTCGGTTCAAAGAGAATTTGGTTTATCTACTACTTCATCATTTACTTGATGAGTAGGGATAAACGGGCCATGGACTATTGTTTCCCACAATTCATAATTTATACTTTGAAGAAAAATTCTAAACCTACCTTGTCAAATATCAAATCTACTATTACTGAAAGTTGGTGGAGTGTCTAAAAAATATCTCTTGTCAAAAGTCATCATTCTCCTGAGATAATTAGTCTTTAAATAGGAGTTAGTCTTTGATGCCACTTGTTGGAGTGTGACTTCATGCACAAAACATGGGTGAATTGCATGGTTCAGAAAATTGTGGTTTTGAAAAACTTTGCAGATTAAAATCAGAGTTTAAAAACATTTTAAATATTAAACAATGGAAAATAAATTATAGAATATAAATTGCGGAAAGTAAAGAGTTAAGAAAAGATAGAACACAGATAATTATAGAGGTTTGGTCAAAATAAAAAATACTTACTACTCTCCTCAAGAATTGATCTTGAGAGTATTCAATAAATATTGAGAGCTTTTAGTAGATAATACTCACGAACCCCTTACACAAGGAAATAGTTGATTTTCCACCAAAGCAATAAGACTAAGAATTTAGCAGTTTGAGTATTTTCTTCTAAACCATGGATTGAAGCGGTAGTACTCTTTCTACGCAGTAGATCGAAGCGGCTTGTCTTCTTTTCACGAGAATCTTGGAGGGGTTAGTGCATGGTTCAATCTTGGTTGAAGTCACTTCAATGATGAAGTTGAGGAAGAATTAGGCTTTAAGGGATTTATTGGGCTCAAAGGAAATGGCATACTGTGATGCGGTGGGAGAACTGACTTGAGGTTTTGCGTTTGTGTTCGCAAATGTTTCGGTTTAGCAAGAGTCGCCACCGACTTTTTATTTATCCAAAGGAAAGGTCAAAAAGCACAGGAAAGACCTTTGAGATGTTTTCTTGGGTTCGGGGGGTAGGTTATGAAAAGGGAAGGTGCTAACACCCTTTTCATCCATGGTTTTTCATGGGCTCTTAGTTACTTGTTTTAGATCACTTGCTTTTGATTTTCAATTGTTTAAAATGGTGCTTTTGCGTGTGGTTTTGAAAGTATTTTGAAGAGAGGCCATCGTTGTGGCAAACTTTGTAATGATTCTTGTTTGAATGTATACAAAGGTGTTTTGTATTTTGAAAAATGTTTCAATGTTTGAAAGTTTGGTTTGGGAAATGTTTTGAAATTGTGTTGTGATGTGTTTTTGAAAATAGCAAGGATGTTTGCAAGTTTTGATCAAGTAACTAGGAGTTGTCTACCCTACTCAAAGATCTTTCCTGCATATTTTTAACCCTTTGACATTGTTGTTTTACCGTTGCATTTGGTAAACAACCTTGTGTTTAGATGTTAAACGGGACAGGCGCGGGTCATCGTATGATCATGATAGCAATTGTGCTAAGTATCTTTAGCAAGTTTTTGTTTGAGGGACTAGATCATTTTGTATAGGCAACCAAGATAGCGTCATCGAAGGACTATGATCTTTTTGTTTTGTTTTTGTTTTGCCAAGATACCTAGCATGCATACCATGGCCATTTTAAAGGCAACAAGTGGATGAAACCCTAGGGGTGCTTGTGTGCATTATGTTGTCATTTTCATGCATTTTTGTCTTGTATTTAGTCAAGCTATTTGTTGATTTTGGATTTTGCATACAAACCCTAATCTTTCTATCATGGCATATTTGAAAGCAATAAAGTGCGTAAAAATAAATCTACGACTATTACAACATTGATATGGGGAGGGAGATACAATTTTGAATAGGGGATATTTTGCACAAAATAAAACCCTAAGATTATTACAACCATATTGAATTCTTTGTACAAATGAATAAATGGACAAATATTTACAAGTGCAATATAAGTATAAATATGCAAAGATGTTTTTTTTTTGTATTTTATTTTATATATGTAAAATAAATTATTTAATGTATAAAAAATAAAAGATTATTTTTATTAAGGGTGGAAACCCTAATTTTATTTTAAGAAAATATGTGTATTATAATTATTTATTCATGTACAAGAACATAAAATAAAATATATACAAAATATTGAAAAATAAAAATGTGTGAGAAAATATTATTTTATATGTATAAATAATAAAAATAAAAATAAAAATATATAATATTTTTTATAATATTTACAAGTTTTTATTTAAGAAAATAAAAGTATATTATTTAAGAAACTATTTTTATGCTAGAAAAAATAATAAAAATAATAAAATAAAATATGAAAATTTAAGAAAATATTTTTGGTAATTTTCAATGTTTAGAAAAATAAAATAAA